CTTTGCTGTCCATAAAACATCCAGTGTTGTGGCCCGCCAGCGGCCAGCAGAGCTGGCAGTAGATTCGGAGAGTGAGGAGGTTGGGGAAGAAGATGGGCCAGTCTTGGAGTCTGGGGAAGGCTCTGATGAGGGCTCTGTATCGGAGGCAGAGAGGGGGCCAGAGCCATATGCCAGTTATCAGCTGTCTTCAGAGTCAGACATCAGTGAGGCAGACGAACAGCTGGAGCCTGTTCCCTGTGTGCGCATGTGCAGAGCTGCCAGCAAAGGGAACAGCTAAGGAACAAGGGCTGACTCGGGAGTAAAGGCACAGGTGGACGGTGAATGGCCCCTCCCAGAGGAGCAAAAGGGGAGTGGACATTGAAGGAGACAATTAGTTCAATTAATTGGTTCATGATTCTCAGAGACTCCTTGCCAGGTTTTGCAGATATCAGCCTGGCAGCTCTCCAAGCCAGATAAGGTCTGTGACTGTAAATCCCTCCCTTGAAGGACTTTGCTGGATATGAATGAGCAGAAATCACAGTAAATTAATAAAAGGGTTTTTTGTCGGGACAAGGAGTTTGCTTCACGCTCTCGGGAAGAGTCGGTCAGAACAACATGTCCCAACCATCCCTGCTTCAAAATGGACAGCTCACCCCAGGAGGTGCTTACCCAGGAGCCACCCCTTCCCTTCCGGCCACGACTCCAGCAGCCTTTGCAATTGGGAGAGTTGGAAGATCCGCGCGTCGTGAACACTTCCGGGGAACTTGGCCAAGACGTGAGTAAAACAACCCGAGGCGTCGCAAGTGGCCTGCACGTTGAGGCTGTGGAAGTTGTGGCAATTTCGATACAGGGCCGGCATGTCTGCAGGGGCTATGATAGGCACATGGGTGCAGTCCACAATCCCAATGACGTTGGGGAACCCCGCGATGTCGAAGAACGCTTCCCTGGTCCGCCGCAGCTCCGAGTCCGTGGTAGGAAACGTGATGTGCTCGTGGACGTGACGCAACATGGCCTCCAGGAACGCATCCAAGCAGCGGCTGACGGAAGACTGGGACACCCGCAGGTTATCTCCCGTCATCCGCTGGAAGGAGCCGGTGCCGAGAACCTGGAGGGCTATCAGGACTTTTTGCAAGGTCGGGATGTGCCGCCGACTCGCGGAGGCCCCGTCCAGGTATGGGGCCAGGAGAGTGCACAGGTCCTGGATGGCCTGCCGGTCCAGCCGGAAGCGGGTCAGGCACTCCTCGTCGGACACCTGGAGCTCGTGGGTGCGCATCCGGATGAGGCGGGTTCTACGGGGAGGCCGCCGGCTGTGGAGCTCGAGGTTGGTGGCGTAGACCAGGTCCAGCAGGCCTTCGTCATCAGAGCTGCCCTCTTCTGGATAGAGGGGGAGAGGGGGCCCTCTTCGCGGTTCCACTTGCCTGAGAGATCCTGCGGGGCCAAGCAGAAGAAGGAGAAAAAGACGTTGGCAGCTTATTTTATTTCTTGGATTTATATGCTGTTGACTGTTAGAGCTTTATATAGGAAAATTAATCGCCCACCCATAATTTAATGGAGCATGTCTACTATGTCCATAGAAAAGGATCAGCTCCCCTGGGGAACAAAATGGCAGGAACTGAGGCTTTGACTGTCAGGCCTGCAGTTATATCCCTTTTAGGATCTTTGGCCTACCACACTCTCTCTTATTTCATTATGTAGTAGTTGGGAAGAGGGAATAGAAAGGAGTAGAATTGTGGAATGGGTTGTTGTCATTCTTTTCTAGAAGCCCAAGGTCATCTTTTGTCTCCGCACTTCTGCACCTGACCAGAACCAGCTGGGTGGAGATGGTAGCGTGGAAGAAGAAGATTGGACCATGTGATGGATTTATGGGTGTGGGGACAAGATCATAAACTTTCAACTGGGTGGGAATCGTAGGTAATTTCCAGAATTGGGGTTCCACAGATGTGCCAAGATGTCTGACTTATTATATTGGAACTTT